TTATAAATACATGTAAAACTACTATGCCAATTTTGTACATGTAAAGCTAAAAAATATTTACTAATTTTTGAGAGAGACAGAGAGAGTGAGGGAGGGAAAGCAGAGATCTGAGAGGAGACTTTCACTTCATTTCAAGATCATTCTTTTTATGGAGACAAGATTCGTCATGGAATAATTCCATCTTCTGCTACATTTCCTTGTGTCCTGAGGATGCATCAAGAACATTCCAGAGCTGATACCTTTATACTATTAGACTTCTATACCAGCTACACCAGGAGCCACGAGACAAACGGGGAAAGAGGACTTTGAGGAGGAGAATGGATGTCGGTTGATATGGAAATCTACTTCTTTTGAGAGAAAGAGAATTTTTTGAGAGAAAGAGATTCTTTTTTAGAGAGAAAGGGATTCTTTTTTAGAGAGAAAAGAGAGGAAAGTATTAATTGTAACAAACTGTAAATTATAAATTAAAGTATTTGCAATCAGCCTCTCTATACATGTAACTAAAACTCAGCCTTTACTTAAATGTAAAACTAGAAGATAAACGAATTACTTGAAATGATTCTAATCTACTTTTTTAAGAGAAAGAGAAGTTCCTTTTTTAGAAAGAAAGAGAGTATTTTGTCAAGAGAAAGGGAGGTATTCTAAAAAAAACAGAATTAAAATGTTTATCAAATATACAACTATAAAACTTATTTTCGAGCATAAAATGAGAATCCCCCCATTTAATTTCAATTCGAGACATGAGCCTTTAAGATACATGTGTTAGGAAGGTAGCATGGTGCACACTGGATATGGGTCAAGTGGGCTAGTGAGAGCTGTAAGCTGTGAGGCTACTTGATCGGTCAAACATAATCCCCGCAGGGAGAGGTGGTGGCAGGGCGGTTTACCTATACAGTTTCCTTACACATGTGATTGCTGGTTCACTTGTTTCTGTGGCTAGTGTGTGCCTTGTTTACCTAGTGATGAGTTAATGCTAGTGGGTATGGTTGATACTGGTGGACTGGTGGGCACTGGTGGCATGAGGGCTGGTGAGTCCTGTAGTGTCTACCTGGGATTTAAGCCACGGTATATCACAACTGAACAAATTGCATATGATTGCATGACGTTCATAAGGTTTGATCTCCAAGCTTTTCCCTGTGTTAATCTACAAGTGCTCATCAGTTTCTTGTGTTATTGGTGTTTGCTATGTGTTGCCAGTGTTAGCTGTATTTGCTAGTATGCACTTGTCACTCTAGAACAGAGCATAATAATAAAACAGTTATAAATTTGAATTTTAAATTATAAGTTAAAATTCAAAATTTACATGTAAAAGATTGTCCTGATTC